AATATATGATAATACGTGTAAATTGTGTACGCATAACATGAAATGTTCACAAGGTTTCTTAATTTTGCCGAAGGTATAATTAATTGGGAAATGCTACAGTCCCGCTACAGAACCATTCCGTCGGGATTTGTAACAGTTAGATCATCATGTAACCGCCGTGGATAGTTGATCTAACGATTATAGATAGTGAATTTATTTATTTATTTATTTTCGCACAGGATATCAAATTAGTCCTAGAAAGATTTGGGAGCAATATAATCTTCTCCAACGGCCTCAGGGATCCATTTAGTGCTGGAGGGTAATCACTTTTTTTTTTTTAATTCAGATTTCTAATTTTGTTGTCTTAACATTGAAAAAAAATAAAATGAATTGGGATAAATCTATTCTCATTAATTAATGTTCTATACATGACTTTTGGTATTCACATTCAGGGTGCTTGAAGATTTGTCTGAAAGTTTGGTTGCTATAACAACTCTAAACGGTATACATTTTCATTAGCTCAAATTAAATAATTTTATATATTTCGCTATTACTCTGTATGGTTATTGTCATTTTTAGTACACTGTGTTGGCTATCACAAAAGCTCTGTAAAAAACGTAAGACGCGATCTGCATTTGATTACACTACAATCATCGTGTTGATATCATTGGATCAATATACACAAAAGCATACACATACTTACACGGCCGATCTGTAGACCCTATTTTGGTGAAAAAGTTTGTTGTGTCAAATTTTTCTATAATCGAAGCATCAGGCGTGCGGTCCCACACAGTGAAGCGCACCATAAGAGGGTGATCCTAGGTGCACAATATTGAAGTGTCATCCCAAAACTAACTGGTGGTGGAAGGAGTAGCCCACTATACTTATGAACTAGACTCATTTTTCCTGGGACAACTCACAAGTAATAATTCTAACAGTTTGGTTACATAATTAATTTTGCAGGTTCACATTGTCTAGACCTACTGCCTCCAGCAAAAGGGGATCCAGAGTGGCTGACCGCACAAAGAAAAAAAGAGGTCGAAATAATGAAAGGTTGGCTTAATACATATTATTGTGATCTTCAGCATGCTTAACACAGGTATATAAAAAGGATCATTTTATAACTTCTTAAAAAAGCTTATGAAGAAAAGTGGTCCGGCTGATGTAACTTGTACGTAGTAACCAACAAATTATGAATCTTATCATTTTATAGCTAATGCATGGTTTTCTCATTCCCTTATCTTTAAGATTAAGTTTTTCAAAAAATAAAATTATAACTATAAAAATAAATATATAATATATACTATAGATAATGATTAATTTATATTAAATAAAATTATTTTAAAAATAAATTTCAAATAATAAATTAAAAGTATTTTTATATATTTTTTATTCATATTTTACTTCGATATATTAAATCTTCTATAAAAGTAAAACTCATTAAAAATACATTTATAAATAGTTTAGATAGATATTATTTTATTTATATATAATCATATATATATTATGTATTGTCTCATTAATTGATTAAATTTTATTTAATCGTAGTTCATTTAATCTATTCAATAATTTTTTTTTCCAATGTCATAATTATTCCATTATTCAACTGATTTTTATTAAATTTTATTTAATCATAGTTCATTTAAATATTCCACTCCTCAACTCATTCTAATTATTACGTCTACAGCCAAGTGCTTGACTTTTATAGCTTAATTGTTTCATGTGAATGACAGGTTATTAATTATGTACATATATCACATTGTTTTACAGATTGCTAAAGGAGTTGAAGGAGGAGCGAGGAGCACGTGGCAGTGCAGATGAAATATTGTGATACTAAAAAAACTTTTCTATTTACGAACAATTGCAAGAAATAATAGTTTTATATTTTCTGTTATTTAAGTTCTCTCAGAGTAATATTTTGATAGTTGACGTTATCACTTCCACTGCTAATAAATGTTTGGATTCTAAAATAAAAAAGAATAGAATTTCTATTATTTATTATTTATTTATTTATTTATTTAGTTATTTATTTATTAGATAGGATATAGTTCAAATAAAAGGAATAAAAAAACATTATGGATAACAAATTTCTACTTAGTTATATAAAATTTAAGGGAAAATTACACTTTGCCTACCGAACTATCCGCGTTTTTACACTTTGCCCACTCAACTTTTTCCGGTGACACTTTACCCCTTGAACTTAAAAAATTCTTGCACTTAACCACTTCCGGCCACCGGAGGTGAAAAATCAAGGGCAAAATTGTCTTTTACACCTTAGGAGACACCTCAAAGCAGTCTTCACGAGTACACTTTTCCTACCGAACTATTCGCGATTTTACACTTTTCGTAGAACATTTTATATCAAAGTTTATGGTGATTAAATAACTCATAAGCCATGGGTCATGAATTATCGAGTTCTTTTTTTTTCATAATCAAATAATTTGAAAATGTATTACACGTGTGCATGAGCGCACTTATAAGTTATAACTACTATATTTTAGCCCACCGCGTGGCCCAAATAGGGTAGCTTATCTTATTGGGCTAGATAATAGCCAACAGATAGTGTTAGCATACATCTTGACATAGGCTATCATTTTAGACTATAAACAACAACCCAAAAGGTAGATTAGTGGTGTTTACAAGCTACCACAATTTTACACTATTGGTATTTATCATTTTAGACTATAAACAACAACCCAAAAGGTAGGTTAGTGGTGTTTACAAGCTGCCACAATTTTACACTATTGGTATTGTTGCTTGTGGAAATGCACCAGTATATTTAATATATATATATTGCATTTCCACAAGCAACAATACCAATAGTAAATACATATATATATATATATATATATATATATGTGTGTGTGTGTGTGTGTGTGTGTGTGTGTGTGTGTGGATTCAATGAGACTACTAATTAAAATGAGTACATCAGACTCAATCTTAGGGGGCGGTTGTTTTTCAATTAATTGCTCCAAAAAGTGAATTAATTGGATTTGAGTTAATTGAGTTAAAATTTCATTTTCATCATTTTTAAGACGTTCAGGCATGTGGGGTCGCATGTCTTACGTGGGGTGGACAGTTTTAACACGTGCAGCTGCAAAAAAATTGTATTTATTTTTTTTTGTTTCTTTTTTTTTTTTTTGAAATTATGAAAAAAATAATTACGTAAATGCCATTATGAATAAAAAATACTGGAAATCTTTTACTTGGAAGCTCCGTCAATTTTTACTGGGAAACATCTCTCTCTTTATTAACACCTCTCTTTACTATACAGTCATTTTCACAAATCTCCACAAATCACAGCTCCTAATAATCCTAGCCTCGTCCCGCGCTCGCCTCCTCTTCTCTCCCCAGACAGCTTTGTATCGTCGCTCGGACTTCGGCGTCGGCCTTCAACGCCCGACCTCCGCCTCTAACCTCTGCGTCCGGCCTCCGCTTCCAGCCTCCTCCGCCGGCCTTCGATCTTATCCTCGAAGGTATTTTGCTCCCAACTCCGTTCATGAAACTTGCTGAAATTGGACTGTAAATATAATATAACCTTTAACTTTTTGAGTCGAAGCTGATTTGAAGAAGGTCTATGATAAATTTCACTGAAATTGGTCATGAAAAAATAGATATCAGTTTGTTCATGTTGTTATTCGTTTCTGTGTATATGATCTCCTCTGCTCTTACTGAACCTACCCACAAAGAGAAAGAAGAGCAATTTTGCCCCGTTTAAGTGCTGCAGAGGTGCTTTTTTTTTACATTTTTTCTGGTACTGGGCCGCAGCCCTCGGAACTCGAACATATTGTTGTAACCATTTAACACTATCCTTATAGATAACACGGTAAGACACCATGTCCGAGCACTTTCAGAGGTTTTTCAAGTACATTGTGAATGCAGAGAAACGAACATTGGTACGTTTGCGTATAATAATAATCATTGTGTTCATGTTTATTTGTTGTGGTCAAATTTTTTGTAAAGTCACATAAATCGTAAAATTGGTTGTTTTTTATGCTAAACACAGAAGCTCCCGGACGCTCTAAACCATCAATATAGCCACCTTTTACATGTCGAGTGCACCCTTACCACCAGGGAGGGTCGAAGGGATAACGTCACAATGAGAGGTAATCTTTGTCGGGTGGTTTTTTATGAAGGATGGCTAGACTTTGTGCGTGCAGAGGATATTATGACCGACAATTGTCTGTGGTTCGGCAGAACCTCGTTAACCGATTTCGTCGTCACAATCCACACCGATAATCAGGTTGAACGGGAGCTTCAACACTGTTTTACGCTGCAGATAACAAAAACCCATGTGGAACGTGCTCGTTTGGTAGTTGTATTATATAAGATCGATTAAGTTTATTTTTTTTTTTTGTATAATTTTGAAGCGCCTACATAATTAGTTACAAGTATCCGATATTGCAGCCTATTCCACTGAGTTTTTGGCGATCTTATGTTCAAAACGTGTCTACCGACAAGAGTAGAGTAATTTTGTATTGGGAAGGTCATGGTAAAGTGTTGATGCATAATTGGGATGCTCAGGAGTTTGTTGATTACACTGAAATGGCCGAAGGTTCTACATGGTGCTTCACATTGATTCCTTATGTTTGTGTTCGTTTTGAGGTTGATTTGATGTAATTTGAGTTTGGAGGTTAGGTTGGTATACCTCATTTTGTGTTGAGTGAGTATTTTGTGGTGTACCAATCCTGTGTAATGGTGTCTATTGACTTGTTTTACTTGGATTTATGCAATTTATGATTAATTCATGTTAATATTCATCTGCATCAGTACAATTTTGTAGTACAATTGTATAAGTAGGCTTCTATTTTGTTTTTTTTTTTATTTTTTTTTTTTTTTTTTTTTT